GACCCACCAGTTCCACTACAAGAGCCATACCCTATAGAAACAAGAGCTGTAAGATGAACAGATACAGGCACATTCATGTTCATTGCAGCATTGTTTATAACAGCAAAGAGATGGAAGCAATGCAAGCACCCATCAGTGACTGAGTGGATACAGGAACTGTGGTACATTCACACAACGGAGTACTATGCAACAATGAAAGGGAATAAAGAATTAGTTAAACATGAACAGCATGGATGAATCTAGAGGAAATTGGGCTGAGTGGCATAAATCAGTCATGAATAAACAAATATTGTATAAAACTACCATTTTTTTAAAATCTAAGGAAAGGTTTACACACACAGGATCGTTCTCAGATGGATATTAGAAAGGGAAAGGGGATCAAAAAGTAGTGAATAGACAGTGTTCTTCTTGTTGTTGTGGGCTTTTGAATTGGAACCGACCCACAGCTGACCCTCCGCAGGTTTTCAGAGGCAGTAAATTGCACCGGAGGAGATCGCCCTTCTTTGTCCCAAGGAGCGGGTGATTGACTTGAACTGTATACCTTTGGGTTAGCAGCACAATTCCTTATCACTACATATATTAAGATGGGTGAGTGAAAAGGTAGTATACAATAATGGGATGATTAGCACAATATCGCTAAAGAAAGGGAAAACACAGAGAGATAGAGAAAGATTAATGGAAACTAGAATTACAGGAAATGGGGAAAGTGGGATTTTATTGTGGTCTAAAATGAATTCTAAAACAAAGTGTGTATGAATGGTTGAGTGGGAATTTTATTTGTTTTAGAACTGTCACTCCAACAGCACAGGAGAAGGAGACCCAGGATGAGATGGACTGATACAGTACCTGGGGCGATGGGGGTTGGTGTGTCAGAACTGGTGAGACTGGCTCAGGACAGGGAAGGGTTCAGAGCTGCTATACACAGGGTCGTTATGCACCACAGGCGACTCAATCAATAACACTCTATGACAGGTTTGGAAGCAGGACTGGCATCCACTTTCTAAGTAACATGACTCCAAGAACTCTATGAACTTTGATTAAAGTCAATAGTTGTAGAGGAGCTTCAGGCCTTTTATTATTGGAGTCATGCTCGACTCGAAGGCAATCGACAACAACAATAACAACTGTTGCTCCAACTACAACTTAAAACAGAAAGAAATTTTAACAGGAAAAAAAAAAATCAGCCAGGATGCTCCGTAGAAGGAAGGGTGAGGCAGCTCATTTCATACACTTTGGGTTTATTATCAGGAAGGGCCAGTCCTTGGAGAAGGCGAAGAGTCAGAGCAGAGAAAGACCTAAAATGAGATGGAGTGATGGAGCAACCACAGCAATGGGCTCCAACATAACAACAGTTGTAGAGATGCCACTCGATCTGGTGGTGTTTCCGTCCGCTCTTCTTGGGGTCACTGTGAGCCATCTTGATGACATCTAACAACATCATAGAAGAGCCACCCCCTAGGAAGGCTTCATCCATACAGTTTCCTGATCCTAAACCCCCAGGGCGATGTCACACAAGTCTCATTGAAGTCAGTAAAGGATTCACTGTGTACCAGGTGCCCAGCCTGCTTGGACATGCCAGTTAACCACACAAGAGGTACCGACTCCTCCCTTCACCAGCCAGTTTGTGTGCCTGTGTTTGGTTTTAGTTGCCGTGGTTCAGTCAGTCCCTCGGCTACCCTGCCAGGGTTTCCAAAGAAACCACCTCCATTCCCAGGGAAGGAAAATAAAAATATCAAAGCTCCTATCTTTGCGTGAATTTTCAATCCACTCATTTGTTGATGGACATTTGGGCTGTTTCCATATTCTTGCTATTGTGAATAACGCTGGTATGTACACAGGTGTATGTATCTCTGTTTATGTCTCAGTTATCATTTCCTTGGGGGATATCCCTGGCAGTGGCACGACTGTTGTTTGCTGTCAAGTCAGAACTGACTCATAGCTGACCCTCCAGCAGGTTTTCAGAGACAGTAAATCACAAGGGAGGATATCGCCTCTCCTATTCCTGCAAATGCAGCTGGTGTATTTGAACAGTGTGCCTTTGGGATTGTACTGATAGGGTGGTATTAATAAGTTCAGAATTATATGTATCAGTTATAAACCTATGACAATTGACTATGGAAAGAACCCCTTGCGTTCAGTAACAGTAGTGTAGCTTCTTACCACCAGAGTTCAGCAGTGGTATGGCTGGGTCATATGGGATTTCTACGTTCAGTTTTGGAGGAAATGCCAAATTGTCCTTCAGAGTGGTTGTGTCCTTTTACAGTCCCGCCAGCAGTATTTGAGAGATCCTATCTCTCTGCATGCTCTCCAACATTCCTTGCTGGGAATACCATGCAGCACTGAAGAACAATGATTTAATAAAATACTATATAACATGGGAGAATTGAGAGAGCTTTATGCTGAGTGAAATAACGGTCTCATAAGAATAAATAATACATAAGGCAATTATTGTAGAAGGAGATAGATAACTGAGCAAGGTGTGCAGAAATGTTCAAAAGGGGAAGAGGGAAGAGAGAAGAAGGCAGCAAAAGGGGATCCAGGGAAATCACAAGGATAAGAGGTTAGTGAACAGATGGGGCATGAAAAAAATAGAAAAGATCCAACAGGGACTTGAAAAGACAAGGTAATAATTGTCATTAATTAGATAAAATACAGGGATAAATGTAAAATCAGGGATGTATTCTTTCTCCATATCTGTTCAATCTCTATGCTGAGCAAATTATCCAGAAGGCTGGACTTTGTGAAGAGGAGTGTGGCATTGGGATTGGAGGGAGACTCATCAATAACCTGTGTTATGCAGATGACACGACTTGACTTGCTGAAGGTGAGGAGGATTTGAAGCACTTGTTACAGAAGATCAAAGAATGCAGCCTTCGTATGGATTGTGTCTCAATATCAAGAAAACAAAGATTCTTACCACTGGACCAATAGGCTGTCATGATGGATGGAGAGGAGATTGAAACTGTCAGCAGCTTCATCTTACTTGGATCCACAATTAACACTTAGGGTATGAGCACTCAGAAAATTAGGAGACGCATTGCAATGGGGAAATCTGCAGTTAAGAACCTTTCCAAATTATTGAGGAGTCATGATGTCAGTTTGAGGACTGGTGTGTGTCTCATTCAGGCCATACTCTTTCTGATTACTAGCTATGCATCCGAGACCTGGACAATGAATAAGGATGACAGAAAAAGAATTGATGTCTTTGAGCTGTGGTGTTAGAGAAAAGCACTGAAT